CATTGTGTGTGAGAAATCAGCCCATTCAGGGTGGAGGGATATACAAATAAAATATATTTCCTTTATACATTTGCAAGCAACTTGTTTAACTCAATCGTATTTCTGTGTAAAGAGCCGCCTTGGGACAAAGTTGCAAATATTGGAGCAGTCACCTTGGAAAAGCATGTTACTGCTGATTACTGCCATTTTAGAACCTTACCCACAAACACTCTTTATACATATTTATTCGTATGTAAATGGAATTCAGTGTTGCACCTGAAGTGCAATGTGTAAATCTTGTGCTTGTGAATAACAGGATGATAAGACCACTTTAAACATTAACCCTGGGTCATTAGTACTAGGATACAACTAGAATACATTTCTCGAAGATACTTTGCACAATAGGTGGTGATTGTGTTATCTGGCCTTTGGGATGAGAGTATTCCTTATCCAAAGGCAACAGTCCTATTCTGCAACATTCATGGAATACATATGTACCTTGACCTTTGGTTCTGTTGTATGTGATGCCTGTACGAGTGCATGTCTAATGTATACATCTATATGTGTTACACATGCATAATGTGTTATTCAAGCTTATTGATTTGTAGTTTCACCTCTGTTTCATAATATTTTTGCCGTAGAATATAGCACTGCCGTATTCACATATAAATAATCTAAATTAGGGCATGTCATAGTTCAGCAGTGGGGAACCTTTGGCACTCCAAATGTTGTGGACAACATCTCCCATGGTGCTTTGTCTGCTTATTGGCTGTAAGAGCATTATGGGAGATGTAGAACACAACATCTGGAGTGCCGGAGGTTGCCTACCCCTGTCACATAGTTTGAGATCCGTAAAAGGTGCCTTTAATGGTCGTTTTGTATTTTTAGAGGCAGATGAAGAATCCATCGTAGCTTCTATGGCCCCAAGCAGGAGTGAATGGGCTATTACATTTAATTAGATGTCGGTGAATGAGGGAGATTGAGAAAAACTGCATAAAAATATATGAGCTACATTCCAATAACCTCAATACCAAATGCCACACAAACAATGGAAAATAGGATATAGCTAAACATATAAACAAAGAAAGAAAAAGCTCATGGGGGAATAACATCAATTCACAGATAGCCCCTTATTTCTATGTCACACTTACAAAATTGAATACATTTTCAGGCTCATCAATTATGTAAATTATTATGAGTTCCTCATAATTCAGATGATGAATGATGCATGTAAAAGATAAAAGACAACATAGTACAGCGCTGTTATGAAGTAAAAATCATCAGCTTAAATGATTGCACTTACAGTGTTAAAGAAGTAAAAAAGCCCATCAATACAATTGTGTGTGTCCAATCAGCATGTAATAGAATAATCTTCACAGAGGTAGTAGGCAGAAGAATCAAATGTGTAAAACAATAAAAACTAAAAACAAACTCTACGCGTTTCGTCTGATATGTCAGCCTTCATCAGGAGTAAAAATATCAAATAACATTCACATAAGGTGCTTCAAATGTTGTGAGGACCGTAGCTGTATTTAAAAGTCCCTCCTGCCGGTGTTCTATCAGTCTGCTATACCCCGTCAGATTGCTATACCCCTGTCACTTCCAGTGAGGAGAATCAGCTGGATCCTGTGCTGCACATGCGTGCTAGCACTCCTGCTACTACTCCACAGCAAGGTCCTGGAATGTAAGTAAAAATAGTGCTTAGGCACACGGGACATTTAGGGTTAAGTGAGGGTACAAATTAAGGTTAGGATTAGGGATCCGTTCAGCCAATCCGCTGCCTTCAATTAGCCTTCCTTCAATTGCTCATTGTCTTTATTCCTTTTAAGGAGTTCCGGCAAGCATCCGTGGAACGCACGTGCGTTCCGCCAATCCGGAAGTGTTCTCTCTTCATATTCAGGCGGGCTGTGCGGAAGTGATGTGTAGCTGGAACGCACATGCATTCCACTTCGTCTTTGCACAGTAGTTAGAATAATCCTCGTATAGATTTTAAAAGTCTCAAATCATGAAACAAAATTATATTGCAGTGTGTTAGTGATTTGGTAAATACAATATTTAAGAACATTATTATTATTGTAATACCCAATATTATATTGCAGTGTATTAGTGATTTGGTAAATACAATATTTAAGAACATCATTATTATTGTAATACCCATATGGGTGTATAATCACTTATATTTTATAAGTGTTATATTACAATCACAAAAAAACTTAAAAAATAAATAAAAAACATGCATTATTCTCATGATCATATGAAATAACAGTATAAAGCATGAGGAGGGAAGATGGTAAAGTGAAATAAAATAAGGGAGGGATTTTGGGGACACCAGACTATTAAAACAATAATAATATTTTAAACAAAAATGTAAGTAAAAAAATATATTAAATTGATAAAAAGTTAGTAAAATACTAATAATAAAATAATAATAATAATAATTAATCATCAAAAATATTAATAGAAGATAAAAATCCAAAAATTTAAAAATTATAAAAAACAAATTAAATCAAAATCCACATTCAACCCTAATGGTTGAAGTGTTTTTAGTCTGTGTATCCAGAATATAACAACCATTATATCTCCCCCCTCCCCTCATCATAACCTTTTGCCAGGGAGGGGGGACTGTGCTGCCATCCCCGGTGGTGCTAGTGGTAAGTGAACTGTAGCCTGAGAGGCAATGCCCCGAATCTCATGAGAGGAACCCGGCAGAGCTGCAAGATAGAGTTCCGCTGGGTCCTCCTCTCCCTCCCTAGCTGCATGTCTGTGCAAGTGGGCTGGTGTGGGAGATCTCTGATCTCCCCACCGGCCCGTCATGGAATGTAGCAGGGCCAGCGCTCCGATAGCGTGGACCCTCCATAGGTGAAATCCTGTGACCACCCCTGACAGCATTTGCCCGGTGTGCCTGATGGCCAGTCCGGTCTGCTTGCAATGGTGTGCAAGATCTGACCGCAACGAAGATGCACCTCCTATCAGAGGACCAAACCTGTACACAGTCATATTCATTTATGTTTGTACCCAATTACTGAATGTCATAACCATCATTGCAGAACTGACTGACTCTTTATGATGGTGCCACACCATACCCATTTCTATACCCCCTATTAACTGAAAAATACCAATAAAAACAGAATGTTAAAAAAAAATTAAAAATACATGAGTTACCAACTTCACAGCATCTTACTTAAGTATTATAATATTAAATGCAGATAAAGAGCCTTACGAATGAATTTACATGCGTGCTCATTACAATAAAAACAAGACATGCTTCTTCATTTCTCTGACCACCTTAGGGGGTAGCTGCTGAAGTGGCACTGAGACAGGAGCCTTTGGCAGCTCTGTTGACATGAAACCCTTGCACATTCTCTTACAGTGATATAAATGCTAGCTAATATATTGGGTTGTTACAGCTACCAGATAAGTTATTGCTATGCATTGGAACATTTTCATGCCTACCTATTTGGAAGCTAAAGCCCAGATTTGGTACAGTTGCAATGACATTTAGCTGATGGAGGATATGGATGGCGTATATAGGGCTACAGATAATTTAGGGTAGTAAACTTCTCCTTTTTCTTTAAATGTAAGGTTTCAACATGTTTCTGTACAGTGTCATGGCCCTTATTGTTCCATTTTCAGAGTTTGGATTGATCATAACCATTTTCATACCAAAATTTGAAAAATTTAGATTTGTTGGTAACAAAACTTATCTGAAGTTTATCAGAAAACTTTATCCATAATAGGACCACCCACCCATTTGTTGCCCATACCGGTGTGGTACCTGTTGGAGATTTTGGAGGTACTGTATTACACTTAGCGTCAGTGAGTACCCCCCTTCTCCTTTATTCTCATTTATAGAGTAATTAAAGGAGGCAGCAGCTTGCATTTTTCTGTACTAGAATCATCTAGAATCATGTAAGATTCATATTTTACTCCAGAACATCCTAAACACATTCTTTTTCAAATAATTTTTATTAAAGATTTTAGAAAATAAGTAACATAGTTTTAAAAACATGATATTAGGGGTGGGTAAGGAAAGGGGGAAACTTGGAAGTGGGGAAGAGTATCCATCCATTATAATAATACAAATCCTAATGAACATAGTATAAATAACATAAATTATACAATAATGCAATTCAACAATGAATTAGCTATTTATAAACGGTATACTTTTTTAACGTCATCTTCCCATTTGTCCCAATAATATTTTAGTTTTGCAAAGGAATGCATATTGCTCCTATGCGATGGTTCATGTGCTTTGTTGTCAAGAATTACATTTATAATCTCTATAACTGATGGTGTATTGTTTGTCTTCCAATATCTTGGCAAACAAGAGGTAGCAGCAATCAGAATGTGGCCTATTATTATTTTGTCAATTCTACTAACGGAGTTTTTTAAATAGTGCACGCTCGGAAGTTAACATACCGATAGTACTATCTACTTTAACGATTAGATCATGAATTATTTTCCAGTACTTTGTCATTTTTGGGCAATACCACCATATATGAGCCATATTTCCCAAACCCCCGCAGTCCCTCCAGCACCGATCAGAATACATGTTATTCATGTTGTGCAGTCTGGATGGGATCCTAAATACATTCTACAAGGAGCTGGAAACCATTCTTGTGTATTTAATTTGTCAGTGACTAATTGTGTCACACATTTCCTATGCATTTTTCAAATGTGAAGTTCCTGTTCCAACTCATGTGTTTGAACGTAAGAACCCGAACTTCCTTGCATTGCTGGAGCAACATTAGCACAATACATGGTGGTTTCCAATTTCTAGTATTTAAAGCCCTTACAGCATAATGGATTCTAGGGTATCATGGGAAATATAGTTTATAACCCTTCATAATGACATAGTTCTTGATGATTGGCCTATAATTGATCCATCTATTTGTATTAATGCAATTATTTCTTTCACAAACCTAAATCTCCTCCTAAAAAGAAACAACTAGTGTAAAGTGATAAATTAAGCAAAATTTGTGTATATCATTTTTTTTTTTTTAGCGGCTTTGGTTAGTTTGATGTACAATCATTTTTATCAAGAAATAGCACTATGGGGGGCGTGGCGAACCGCCGAGCAAGATGGCCGCGTGAATCTTTGCTCCGGCACATGGGCTCCACAACATCACCACATTACAGGAACAGCACAAATAGACCAGCGAATTTCACCAGCGGACACGAGATGTCACAAGCCAAGCCCAAGAAATCTGCCATTAAAGCGGACAAAAACAACTTTCGGCCAGAAAGGGCCGACGGCACCTGATACACTGCGGCCGCCTATGCAAGATGGCGACGAAAATTACAGCATGGAGTACACTCCACAAACGGCAGAAACACCCTCCCCACAAGATGGCCTCACAAGAGACTACTTTGAAAAAGCCATGGAAGCCATGGCAAATAAGCTAATACATACCTGGCAATCAACAGCGGACCAAATTAAACAAGAGGTAAGGGATCTCTCCTCCAGAACCTCACGGGTGGAACAACAGTGCCAAAACATCACCTCACAGCAATCTACAACAAAAGGCGTCCTAAACAACCTACAGAAGCAAATGGAGGCGATGGAAGCACGTATGGCAGATTATGAGGACAGGGCAAGACGAAACAACCTGCGGCTACGAGGAGTTCCAGAGTCCGTCCTCCCAGAAGACCTACAGGTCTATGTAAGAGGCCTCCTCAACACCTATGCCCCGGGCATACCGGCTGATATGCTCCTAGTGGATAGGGTACACAGGGTGCCAAAGCCCAAGTACCTACCTGACGCCACCCCTAGAGACGTCCTCCTGCGGGCACACTATTTCCACATTAAAGAAGTAGTCCTAAAAACACACCGCAGCAAACCAACCCCGCACGAAAACTACCCCACGGTGCGCATAATGGCGGACCTCTCTGCAGCAACACTCAGACGACGACGGGAGTTCCAGCAAGTCACGGCTGCCCTTCAAAGGCAGGGGATCCGCTTTAGATGGGGCTACCCGACGAAAATCATTCTCACGCACCAAGGAGAAACGAAATTCCTCTCCACCCCAGAAGAGGGCCTGCAAGCACTAACAGCCTGGGGAATACCTACCTCAACAGAGAAAGGGACGCAACCCACCACGAGGCAATCCCGCAGGACCCAGGAAGCCTAGACGACCGGAGTGGCACAGAACCATGTTCGCTTCTGAATGATCTACGACGGACACTATGCTATGGACCTGCACGATAAGTACCCCCACAAATGACATTAGGCAACCTGACTGTTATATCAAAAGGGAGAAGGAAGGAGGAAAAAAATAAATAAAAAATAAACCTCCTCCAAAGGTTAATCAAAAGGTTATATTGTCGATATCACTTTGTTAAATTTTCAAAATGTCAAAAGTCAATATGGGACAGATACCCTCCAAAAAAAATAAAAAATAAAAGTATGGGGTGGCTTGCGCAGTGCCCCTGCTAACTCGGTATGGGTTGTGCTGGAGGCGCTGGGCAATGCCCCTGCAAATGTGTTAGACAATTAGATAACTGTAATTGAAAGTTAAAATACCTCTCTGAACATACTATCTGTCCACTAAGGTTGCAGACGGGGTGGAGCGGGGCAACTCAACTCTTAGCCCGCTGCCCAACAATACTTATATGGGGATGTGACTGCCTGAACATAGCGTTCTGCGTATTACCTCATACGAACAGATTATTTGTTTATTTGTTTATATGCTTATACGTTTCAATGTAAAATATGACTTATTATGCCCAGTTCCTATCATATTCATCTACCAAAAGGGAGCCCAAGCCGCCACTGCTTGGAAGTCTTAAACTCCCACCCCCACAGGTGTGATAGACACACCGGACCCTACAAGGTCCAAACCCCCGGCTCCAACCACCCCCTTCCCCCTCCTCGGATCCTACCGCCACCTCCCCATACCGAGAACAAGCCCAATCTACAACAAACTCAACGTCACCCTACTAGGTTCCCCCAAATAACGAATACCAGTCACCATGAAAATATACACACACAATGTCAAAGGCCTAAACACACCCCACAAAAGACGCACACTGCTAGAAGACCTAAAACACAATAAAGCGGACATAGCCTGCATACAAGAAACACACTTTGTAGCCAACCGAACCCCCACCTTTGCGACAAGGGACTACCCATTCCAACTCCATGCAACCCACACCTCCAAATCAAGAGGGGTATCTTTACTCTTCCATAATACCCTTACAATAGAACCCCTTCAAACAAAGATCGACAACCAGGGGCGCTACATAATACTCCATTGCCTAATCAACAACAGCCCATTCTTACTAATAGGGCTGTACAGCCCAAATGACCACCAATACAACTTCCTACACAAAGTACTCGCCAAACTACCGACTAATACCAATGCCCCAACACTGATCTGTGGAGATCTAAATCACACCATGGACTCACGCATAGACTCCACACTCGCTAATACCTCAAATAGACATACCACGCTGAAAAGTAATAGCAAAGCTCTCACAAAACTACTACACAACCATGGTCTATATGACGTCTGGAGAACACTCCACCCAACTGCAAGAGAATACACCTTCTATTCACAGGTCCACAAAACACATTCCAGAATCGACTATATACTTGCTTCCGGACCGTTACTCCAACAAACCCTCGACTGCTCCATAGGCACCATTACATGGTCGGACCATGCACCCGTCCTAATGACGATACGTGACAGCTACCAACATAGGGGCAAACCCCCGTGGCGCCTCAACGATACGCTACTGAATGACAAGACCTTTACGCAACAACTCACCCAACAACTACAAGACTATTTTGCACTAAACGATACTCCAGAATTATCCGCCGGGACCCTCTGGCAGGCCCACAAAGCGGTCATGAGAGGTTCACTAGTCAGCAGAGCAGCCTACCTGAAACGTAAAAGAGAAAGCAAACTCATAACCCTGCTGAAGACACTCAGGGACACGACCTCAGCGCATCTCCTGAACCCCTCAGACGCATACAGAGAAAGAATCAAAACCATTACCACCCAAATCAACCAAATAAACCTTGACAAAATGGCATACATGCTTACCAAATTAAAAATGAAAACGTACACACAGGGCAACAAAGCAGGGAAATACCTAGCTACAATGCTAAAGCAAAAACAAGCCAACTCCAAAATACCATACCTCATAGCCAAAAATGGAGAGAAGCTACTAAATCCTCAGGACATTAACGATGAAATGGCTGAATATTACCAAAATCTTTACAACCTGAAGGACGACCCAACTGTCCACCAACCTACCCCACAAGAAATAAACACATTTCTGCAACAGGCAAGTCTGCCAACACTATCCCCAACCCAAGCGCAATCCATACAAGACCAAATAACCACACAAGAAATCTTAGAGGCCATACAAGCCCTACCTCCCGGGAAATCACCAGGTCCTGATGGGCTAACAAACCTGTATTACAAACAATTTGCCCCACTCCTAGCCCCCTACTTGCGAAAACTATTCAACGATGTCCTGATCACAGGAACTATGCCAAGGGAAATGTTGATGGCACATGTCGCTACCCTCCCAAAACCAGGGAAGCTGCCAGACAGAAGCCAAAATCTGCGCCCAATATCTCTATTGAACACAGATGTGAAGCTCCTTGCAAAAATCTTCTCGAACAGACTAACAACCATCATCCCAAACCTGATCGGACGAGATCAAGTGGGGTTCGTGGGAGGTAGACAGGGGGCAGACGGCACGCGCAAAATCCTCAACATGCTACACGGAATACGAGGAGGAGGGGCACCAACAATACTACTCTCGCTGGATGCCGAAAAGGCCTTTGACAGGCTCCACTGGCCCTTCCTCCTCGAGGTCCTCCGACGATTTCACTTCCCACCCCAATTCTTAAAATTGATCACGGCACTCTACTCAACGCCAACAGCCCGAGTGGTGAATGGAGGCTTCATATCCAAACCGTTCACCATCTCAAACGGCTCCAGACAAGGCTGCCCACTTTCCCCCCTACTATATATATTGGCATTAGAACCCCTAATCCAACTAATTAGAGAAAACCCCAACATACATGGAGTCAAACTCAAAGGCCAGGAATACAAACTATCCCTGTTCGCTGACGACATCCTTCTCACCCTAGAACAACCCCATATATCCCTTCCAAATTTCCACCACCTCCTTACCCAATACAGCCGATGCTCCTACTATAAGCTAAACATATCAAAAACGCTAGCCCTAGGGATCAATGTTCCAGCTCAAGATATAATCAAGTTGAAAACCAATTATACGTACAACTGGAGACAAGATCATATAACATTCCTGGGAGTGAATTTTACCCCCACGCCAAACTCACTTTTCAAAGCGAACTACCTCAAACTACAAAGCGAAGTCAAAAGTCTTCTACAAAGCTGGAAAGGGAAATTCGTCTCCTGGGCGGGTAGAATAGCCTCTGTCAAAATGGTAGCTATACCGAAAATTCAATATCTATTTAGAACCCTACCAATACCATTACCACACAATTACATTCGTAACCTACAGAACATCATCAGCGAGTACATCTGGGAAAATAAAAACCACGGGTGGCAAAAGCTACAATGCACAACCCATTCGCCAAAGGAGGGATGGGACTACCGGATATTCGGAGATACTACAAGGCAGCCCACATAGCTCCCCTACTAGCAGCATCACACCAACATGAACCTCCAACGTGGGTCGAAATAGAAAAAAACTATGCAGAGGGATTCTCCATACCAGCGTTAGCCTGGATACCAAAACCGCAAAGACCCAAAACTACCGGAATGCTACCTACAACCAGGCTCACTATCTCAATATGGGACAATTACCGGAAAAGCATGGGCACCACGGCCCTATACTCCCCCGCCCTCCCAGTAGAGTCAATGAAAGCTCTTATACCAGACTTCAACTACAAAATCTGGCACAGACATGGCATAAAAACCCTGTCACAACTAACAAGGGACTCCCACATGAAACCTTTCTCGGAACTCCAAACAGAATACCAACTACCGAATACAGCACTATTTTCATACAGACAACTATTATCCTGGCACACCCTACAATTCAAACAAAAACCCACCGAGAGAACGACTACAAGCTGGCAAACCATAGAACAAATATGCACGGCGACCAAACGGACCAAAAAGCTAATCTCCACAATATACACATCTGAAGGACCTCAACCCAAACAACATTCCCCATCTTATGTAACAGCCTGGGAAAAAGATATTGGATATCAGATCACCAAAGAACAATGGAACAACATCTTCAAAGCACACAAACAATTCACCCTCTGCACGACTCACTTGGAGCTGACTCGCAAAATCCTTTACAGATGGTACCTGGTCCCCACACGCCTTAAACACAGCTTCCCCAACATGTCAGACGCATGCTGGAGATGCCATAAGGACAGAGGCACTATGTTGCATATATGGTGGCAATGTGAAAAAATTCAACAATTCTGGCAACAAATAGCACACCTAATTACTAAACACACAGATCTCAAATTACCACACAAACCAGAAACATATCTACTTCTCCTATTGCCACAAATATCACACAAACAACAGAAATATCTTACATACCACATCATAATAGCCGCGCTCACCAGCATAAGCAGAAACTGGAAACAAACATCACCCCCCTCGATCACACAATGTATCACAATCATAAACAGCAACAAAACATATGAAATTATGGCCAGGAATACACAAAAACACCCTCAATACTGGCTTGAAGCATGGGAAAGATGGGAAACAAATCTTACCAACCCTGTAAACAGCACAGACAACCACCACGCAATATGAATCAATACCTCTCTGCACTGAGGTCACGATAGCACACCTTTCCCCCCCCCGTTTCCCCCCCCCCCAAAAAATGCAATCTAACTACCTGGTTAAAACAAGCAACGGAACAAATACTATGTCTGTAACTGTGATACCTTGGGCAAGGTGACGCCCTGCTACATCCCTTACAATAGGGCCTCCTCACCCCACCCCTCCCCACCCCCCCCTTTTTTTACCTTCTGTATCCCTCCTACAACTCCAGAATAGTGGAATTAAAGTGTACTTTTCCCCCCACCCCCTTTCTTTTCTGTACCCTATGTTACCGAAAATAAAAATTGTCAAATTCAAAAAAAAGAAATAGC